TCTTGCTCTGTTGCCCAGGCTGGAGGGCAGTGGCATGATCTTGGCTCACTGCAACCTCCACCTCCTGGGTTCAAGTGATTCTCCTGCCTCAGCCTCCTGAGTAGCTGGGATTACAAGCACATGCACCATACCCAGCTAATTTTTGTATTTTTAGTAGAGATGGGGTTTCACCATGTTGGCCAGGCTGGTCTCGAACTCCTGACCTCAGGTGGTCCACCCACTTTGGCCTCCCAAACAACTGAGATTAGAGGCATGGGCCACCACACCAGGCCACTTTCTTAAAAATCATATTTATAACTGCTCCCCATTTCACAGGTGGTAACCCATTTCACAGGCGGTAAAATCTCAAGTCCTCATGGTAGCCTTTACAGCCCTATGTATTGTGACAATCCCTTTCCCCATGAGTTATCTGACTTTATCTCTACTGTAATCTCCTTGCTGGGACACAATGGCCTCTTTGCTGCTTCACAAACATACCAGGTATATTCTCTTAAGGCTTTGTATTAGCTCTTGCTTCTCTGTGGACCATATTGTTCCAGGTACCATCATGGCTAACTCATGGCAACTTCTCAAAGAGGGGACCATCCTGTTTAAAACCAAAAACCCAAACCAGGACAGAGTGTGGATGGCTTATGCCTGTAATCCCAACACTTTGGGAGGACAGGGCAGATGGAAAACTTGACCTCAGGAGTTTGAAAACAGCCTGGGAAATATGGCAAAACCCCGTCTCTACAAAAAAAATACAAAAATCAGCTGAGTATGGTGGCATTCCTGTGGTCCCAGCTACTTGGGAGGGTGAGGTAGGAGAATCGCTTTAACCTGGGAAGAGGAGTTGCAGTGAGCTGAGACTGTACTGCACTCCAACCTGGCTGAGAGTGAGACCCCATCTCAAAAAGAAAAAAACAAACAAAAAAAACAGGCCCAGGCAAGGTATGATGGCGCATGCCTATACTCCCAGCTCTTTGGGGGGCCAAGGTGGATGGATCACCTGAGGTCAGGAGTTCAAGACCAGTCTGGTAACATGGTGAAACCTAGTCTCTACAAAAAATACAAAAATTTAACCAGGCTGGTGGTATGCACCTGTAATCCCAGCTACTCAGGAGGCTGAGTCAGGAAAATAGCTTGAACCCAGGACGCAGAGGTTGCAATGAGCCAAGATGGCACTACTGCACTCCAGCCTGGGTGAAAG